GATATGACCGATAGGACCCATCATGGGGTTTGATATAGGTTTAATTAATATATAAAACGCATTTTTCTCACATAAATGAGGTCTAAATGGACAGATATTTCCTATCTTAAAACAAAATCGAATACAAATCAAGTCGGAAGGTGGGGCCAATAAGTCAAACCTCTTCTGGTACCTCTACACATATGGTCAACTTCTTGACCTAATACAAAGCAAATAATAAATCTCATGTAGTCTAAACATGATAATATTTATACTAGCTATAGTGTAATTAACTACTATATAGGTCCATCATCTCTGGTACCTCACTTTCACAAATTTGAAAAATTATAAATTTAAATCAGTATGGTCAGATGGGGTATCATATGGTCGGCATATGATACCCTACACAACTACCACTGAGCTCTAAATTTTTGCCGATCTATAATCTGAGCGATACTTACTTACTTACATAGCTGGCTTGTTACAGAACGGTTGTTCCATATGCCGAGGTTAAAAAAGATTTCCATGCGCGTCGGTCTTGTGCGCAAGGCCACCAATTTGGATGACCACATTCCAAGATGTTGTTTTCTACTTAGTCTTTCCATCTAATTCGTGGCCTTCCCCTTCTACGGGAACCATCAGTAGGCTCATTTTTATATGCCTTTTGAGCTGGGGCATTTTCATTCATCCGCACAACATGGCCTAGCCACCGTAGTCGCTGCAGCACAACACCACTGACTATGTCGATGTCCGCGTATAAATTGTGCGATATTTCGCGATATTTGCGCACTCTTTTCCGATTAGAGGTCAACCGTTCCTCTACGGCATCTTTTCAAATAATGTTTTCCCAGAGTAAAAATTTACTATATATAGGATTCAATAGATACCAAGCAATGACTCTGATTGGCTTTAACATGGTGAAGCAGAGGTTTATCTTGGTCCCTCTACGCCACGATGTCACCTGGGATAGCTATTTTCATCACTCGTTGAAACAGTGAGCTGATAACCAAAACAATGTCCCCATGTTGTGTAGAACAGACGTAGTTTTCACTTTGGCAGATGTACTCAAAAATTACAAAGGCGATATTATTGCCTTACAGGAAATGCTATGGAAAAGAACAGGCGCAAATAAATCAGATGAAATACGCACTGTATTATAGCTGCCATGAAACGAGACATGAATTTGGCTGCGGATTTTACTATAATCCGTATAAATGCGAAGATCTTCTACATCAGTCTTATTTCCGCCCATGTTCACGGAAATCTCGGAAAGACCAACGAGAAACACATCGACACATTCCACCTATTCGTCGACTACAAAACCGCATTCGACAGCCCTATCTGGTCAGAGGTATTTACAGCCATGTCTGCGTTCGGCATTACTGCAAAATTAATACGGCTATGCAGAATAACTTTAAGTGATCAGCACTTAATGTCGGAAAGGACCTATCGGAACCCTTCCATATCGACAGACAAGGGACAGTTTATCGTGTGATATTTTTAACATCCTGCTGGAAAAGATCATACGAGACGCAAACGAACAGAAACGAACGAATTGAGGAGGAGTCTGCCAGAGTGGGACTGTCAGTAAATGGTGAAAAGACCAAACTGATGGTATCAACGCGCACGACGTCTAGTAGGCTAGGACCAACTGTGGAACTTGAAAACTACAGCTTCGAGGTAGTGAGCGATTTTATATACCACGGTATCGCCATAAAGGCCACCTCTCACCGGCCCAAGCTCACACTCTACAAGACGCTGATATTACCCGTACTGTTGTATGGATCTGAAGCATGGGTACTTGCGCAAGAAGGTGAGGCAGCTCTTGGAGTGTTTGAGAGAAAAATTCTCCGGATGATCTATGGGCAGATCTGCGTCTATGGTGAATAGCGCCTTCGAATGTCTATTCTGTGACATCGATATAGTCAGACGTATCGATGCCCCAGCTTAAAAGGCACATAAAAGCGAGCCAAGTGATGATTCACGCAGAATGGAAGGCCACGAATCCGACTGAAAGATCAAGTAGAGTAGAACATCAAGGAAATTGATCTTTCAAATTGGATGAGATGTGCACGACGCGCTTGGAAATCTTTTTTTAAACTCGGCTTATGCAACAACCGTTCTGTCATAGATCCTGCACGATATTTACTATCTTATTTTTGAGAACACCAAACTATAGAACATGTTTCAGTTATTCTAAAATTTTCAGTATATGTCCCACATATATTTTTGTCTGATTTTATGCAAATAGTGCAAATGGAGGGGCCTATCTCTTTTCGCTTTACATGAAATTGGATAGCGTATTGGAGCATCTCTTGTATGTACACAAAGTGGTATGTACATGGTGGTGTATAGTCGGCTCAGTCCGACTTTTGAACTTTCCCTACTGGTATAAATTTACAAGTGCCTATAATCCCTTTAAGTTTAGCATGGCGACGTACTCACAACTGTAAGGAAATCTCGGAACTTTAAAAGTTGCCAAACTTAAACAACCGCCTTTGCAGGACACAAAAAATGGCCTTTGCAGGACACATCGCCATCTGTCGAAATAAAAAAAACAATTTGCAGTTGTAGCTTGGTTTGTGTACCGTATAAATCTTTTAATTAACAGCCTATATTTCAAAACAAGTAGAGTTATGGATGATTTTAATTCAAAAACATGCTGTTCAAGAAAATTCCACTTCAGTGACATCTACATATCAGGATTCATATTCACTTTACGTTAAAGTTAACGAATATGTCTACCGTACAATCAAATACACGAACCTTTCTAACATTAGATTGTAAATCTATCGCTTTACAACACTATGTATGATACCGTAGCCAAATAGTGTCAATGATAAAAATATACATATATTTCTTTCATTTTTCTCGTAAAAATCTTGGACAATTCGACTCGCAATATAAACCCTTAAACATTAACCAATATTCAGAAAAAAACTATAGGCACCATTTTTTAACGATATTCAAAGTAATTAAATAAATTTGGAGTTCAACAAACAAAGGTGAGAAGGAGTTCGTTCGTTGAATAAGGTTCGAATACTGAATTTTCAATAAAAACCCGTAAGGAAAGTAGTAAAGTCGGCCTGGGCCGACTATATGATACCCTTCACCACTTTGGGTACATATGTATCCGAAAAGACGTCGCTTTTTGAAGGAATTTTGACATGGAATTGAACTTAAATATGTGATTTTTATATCTTACTGGAACCTATGCAGAATTTCATTTCATTTGGGCAAGTTTAGAGTCGTTTGCGCACAGTGGGACAGATTTGTGTAAATCGATTTAAAGCAAACTTGACACACGCCACGGTATGCTGCACTGTTTAAAATTTAATCTCAATAAACAAGTCTAAATTATATTTGAAGCAAACTTGCCAGAGATTAATTTATACTAATTTCAATACGTTGTGTCAATCGGCCTAGCTGTGGATCTTTAGTGCACAATTTACTTAAAATCGGACGAAAATATATATAGGAGGTGTACACATCATTCCAGACTTATTTCAATACGCTATGCCAAAATTCGTGCAAATCGAATGATTTTCAGAGACTTTTTTACCTAAAATCGGACGAGACTATGTATGGAAGCTATATCTAAATCTGAACCGATTTTCACGAAACTTAGCACACATCATTCTAGACTTAATTTAGTACGCTATACCAAAATTCATGCCAATCAAAAGATTAGCAGGATTTTGGTGCTCCATTTACCTAAAATCCTGTATCTAAATCTGAACCGATTTTCTCGAAACTTAGCACACGTCATTCTAGACGTAATTCTATACGCTATGCCAAAATTCATGCAAATCAAACGATTTTCAGAGACTTTGGTGCACCATTTACCTAAAATCGGGCGAAACTATATATGGGAGCTATATCTAAATCTGAACCGATTTTCAGGAAACTTAGCACACATCATTCTAGACCTAATTCAGCAGGCTATACCAAATTTCGTGTAAATCGAAAGATATATAGGGACTTTGGCACCCCATTTACCTTAAATCGGGTGAAATTATATATGGGAGCTATATCTAAATCTGAACCGATTTTCACGAAACTTAGCACACGTCATTCTAGACTTAATTCAATACGCTATGCCAAAATTCGTGTAAATCAAACGATTTTCAGGGACTTTGGTGCACCATTTACCTAAAATTGGGCGAATCTATATATGGGAGCTATATCTAAATCTGAAGCGATTTTCACGAAACTTGGCACACATCATTCTAGAGCTAATTCAGTAGGCTGTACCAAATTTCGTGCAAATCGAAAGACATTTAGGGACTTTGGTACCTCATTTACCTTAAATCGGACGAAAATATATATGGGAGCTATATCTAAATCTGGACCGATTTTTCCCAATTTCAATAGGGTTCGTCCTTGGGCCAAACAAACGAGCTGTGCCAAATTTCATCCAATTCGGATCATAAATGAGACCTATACTTTGTTTACAATTTAACATGAACAGACGGACGGACGGACATGCATAAATCGACTCAGAAAGTAATTCTATGCATATTCTCAAAAGGAACCATGGGTCTATCTCGATTATTTTTGCCTGTTACAAACATATGCACAACGACATAATGCCCTGTACCACAATGTGATGAAGGGTATAATTATTTTTTAACAGTTTGTCCAAAACGAATGAATATACCTATGTGGTGCTATCAATCCACTTGAGTGCCACATTCTATATTCAGTAAGAAGAAGCATTGTTTTTATTTCGTATTCTTCTCATCCTTCGCTTTTCGCATATAAATTCACTTTGAATTGGCACAAAGTAAATATTTGTTATTTGCTGATGAATCGGCAAACCAACCGGTTTCACTAAAGTGATTAAAGTTTTGTGCACGAACTAAAAGCAACAACAACATTGTGATAATAATAATAAAATATACTATATAAATTGTCTACCATTTACTTAGTGTTCTTAATAAGTGGAAAATCTTAAAAAATTGTGATATTATATCTTTAAACTGCTGGATTTTTTTACATTGATAATATAAATTGGAAAAGAGATGTCTCTAATCACTGGAAGAGCATTGCATTATGTCTTCAAAATTGGCAATCGTGCCAAGAATTCATTTTTCTTTCGAAATATATTGGGCATGAAGGTAAGTGAGAATATTTTTTAAATTCATAGTAGATATGGACTGAAAGGGAACGTTTTCAAGTAGACATTACAACCGCACCTGAGATGTTAATTGATACTACCAACAACAATAACGTTGGTAGGTCGTATTTCAACAGGTGTTGTTGGTTATGTTCGAGATAAATCTAAAGTTAGATTTTTGATTGGCAAAAATATGTATTTACACAACAACTGTCTGTCTACCTTGAAAAGTTAAATTATTGATAAAGATAATTGCTACATTTTGCTTGTATTTAATAGGTATTGAGACACGAAGAATTCAAGGAAGGCTGTGAGGCTCAATGCAATGGGTGAGTGTAATGTTAAGATTTTATATATTGGAATTCTCATCTTTATAAAACTTTTTGTAGGCCATATGATAACCGCTGGAGTAAAACCATGGTCGGCTATGGCCCAGAATCCACACATTTTGTTTTTGAATTAACATATAATTATGGTGTGACCAGCTATGAAATGGGTAAGAATTTAATCATTAGAAAAGAAGTAAAAAATCGTTGAATTCAGTCGGCCAAGTTTTTATAGCCTCCATAAATAGGTGGTCATCTAAATATCTAAAAACAATCGGGAGTTTTATATGGGTACTTTGTCAAAATTGTTGACAGGAGTAAAACATATATTAATCTAAGGACTCTCAGGTTCGAATATTTGGCCTAGGACATACCAAAATCATCAAAATGATTAAAATGAGGGTACTGCTACATAGAGGTTTATAAAAAATGAGGACAGATCTATTTTTATAGTAGGGAAACTTGACACCCAAAATCAATTGGGTTGAAAAAGGAGCTCAAAATATCGAATAATAAAAGTATTCATATATGGCTACAACGAAAGTTGGGTAGCGAAATTTACGATCATTAGTGGTAACCAGTGTTGCCAAAACTTTGTGGATAAAAAATGCTAGATTTTGTTTAAAAAATGCTAGAAAGTGCTAAAAAAATTAAAAAAGTGTCAGATAAACGTGCTAAAAATGTATAGAAGGAAATTTGATTAGAAATAATAATGAGATCTGTATTTCATAAAAATTTATTCTACAAAAGGTGGACTGAGTTTATATTCAACTGAGACCCTATTTATTCTTTATCAGAATATATAAATTCTATGTCGATTTAGCCATGTCCGTCTGTTGATTAAATAACGATACAGCTCGCAATATTGTACACATTGCTACTACTCCTAGTTTTTGGTATTAGAAATGGGACATATCGGAACTTTTTAGGGTGGCCCCATACAAAGGTAACCCCAATATATGGTATTTTGAATTTTTTGGGCAAGTTTTTGAACCTAATTAGTTGTTTATTAGGCAACTTTTAAGTCCAGTTAAGTTTTACAACTGAATTCGTTCTAACTATATACATATAATATTTTGGATTCTGATTGGGTGTTTACCCACCTCCCACCAAAAGTGTTTCCGAATAACTCCCATAGAGAGGTACCTACATTATTCGTGTTTTGGCGACTTTTTCAACCGAAGTGACTTTGAATTCTCATTGGACAGAGAATAGCTCTACCAAGAATTTTAATTATTGGGTTTTGCTCGGTGCAGCTCCCAAAGAGCGGTACCACCCCACATTTTTCGGCATTTTGGTAACGTTCGAATTGACTTTTCGGAATACTTTAAAATTTTCGTTATTTTGAAGGATTTAGCAGCATTCTCTAGGTTATTTTAGGGTAGGACATATTTATGCAGACAATTTTCTACGCAAGTTTTGTTTGGACATACGTCACATATAAAAAAAAGTCCTAATAGTCCATCGAAATGGCTGCATTTTTAAACAGACAATACCACAGCCACCATATGAAGTACCCGACCATTTTTTAAGAAAATTTTGATACACACCACAATGTACAGGGTATAAAATGTTTGAACTTTCGGGCGTTTTTACTTTTTCGCAGATTTACTGACATTTTTCTAACATAGGAGAATCCAACTCACATCGTGAAACATTTGAAAATTTGGGATGAAACCAAACATTTTTCAAAAATTCCGGAAAAAATAAAAATGCTAAAAAATATGCTAGGTGCTAGATCAATTTTTTTGGTGCTAAACGAGTTTAAAAAGTGTTAAATCTAGCACTAAAAGTGCTAAATTGGCAACACTAGTGGTAACGAAATTGAAAATACTCGGTTAAAATGAAGATATTGCTTAAAATGAAATAATAATGAACATTGGGGAAACGTTATATGGAAGCTATGCCCACATGTGGCCGATTTATAAAATTGCCATTACCAAACATCCTAGGAGTAATAGTTATGTATGTATAAAGCAGTTACCGCTTGGGAATTAAAAAAAATTGCACAAAAAGTAGTTTTCTTCAAAAACAGTCGCACAGAAAAATACATTTTTCGATAAAGCTGTTCCGAGAATATTTTCAGTTCCCACAAAACTCAATAACGTGTTATACACGTAAAAAGGAAAATACAAAGGTCGCAAATTGCGACTATAGTCGCAAAACTGTAAACCTTGTGTAAAGTGTCAATGGCATATCTGAAATATTCCGATCTCTATATTTATTTCAACAGCTGGATCAGGCTAAATCAACATATAAATTTATTTTGATTATAAATTAAAAGAATGTTGGTTTGTGTTAAGGAATTTTCCACTTATCCATATGAGAAAGTCGGAAGTTACAACTGAAAGTCGGTTGTACCCAAGAGAAAACTTTAAAAGCCCCGCCCAAGGAACATAACTGTGTTGGTCTACATATCTAAAATACCTAAGTAATCATTTGTAATAAATATTATATAGTAATTACTTTTTTAATGAGATTTAAGGAATGTGTGAAGATTTACCAAAGAAAAAAATTTCACATTTATGCAAATTCATCTGTTAAACACAAGTAGTCCTTAGGTCCATACTTACCACATTCGCCAAGTATGTACATCCAAAGTTCCGAAGTTATCAAAAGAGTGAAGGTATAAAAATAATACATTCAACTCAGCCTTATGGCTAACGAGGGTGTATACACTTTGATACGGTAAAAATGTGCCTTGTCGAAATGTTGGTTTTAGTCCCCATGTTTCTTTGGAACAAATCTGTTTGGAGTCGATTTGCAAATGTTCGATAATTCTCCGCTTTCGTCGAAACTTTTAACATCGTAATATTTCTTCTTCTAAACATAGTTCAAGTTCGAAGATGTGAAATAACCGTCCACTTCTTCAGCAAAATGTATTTTATAATATTATGCTAACGGACTCTTCGATTTGAACCTTACGTTGTACCACCTCTTATATTTACCAATGGGTCGATTACGGCTGGTAACCATAGTTTAGTGGCGTTGCCAGCTGCCAAATTTGAATTATGGATGGCAACTGTTGTCAACTTCAGTCGCTTCAAATAGAATTTTTCGGCAACCATTTATTTCTGGTTGCTGTTTAGTTTAATGAAATTTGTAGGCTTCCCAAAATGGCTAATATTACTACAAAAGAACAATTTGAGGTCTTTTGGTTAAATCAAAGTCACTCCCGATGATGTGTGGAAGGCTATTTCAGAGGACCTTAACTGCTATGGCCCACCAACGCGCATTCCAAATGAATTACAGAGAGTGGCGAACATCTTTTTTTGCCAGTTGAAATCATACCGGGAGTTTGGTTGCTTTCCATAATCGACCCACAAGCCTAGATCAATTCCGAATGAGACCCATTGGTCCACTACGTCTGGTAACTCCCCCACAAATGGTCAATATTTTCAATATCTATAAACTCATAATTTTTTAATTGTATTAGTCAATCTTTTTGCCTACAAATGTCTAAATTGATATGAAAATCTTCATGAAAGCAATTGCTAAAGATTTGAAGGGAAGCTAAATGATTCCCCTTTTAATGACCGAATTACATAATGTCAAGTTATAATAAATATTGAAGTACACATCACTCATATCTCACAACGTTATCTATTTTTTTAATTAGGCCAATTATTTATTCTTTACACTACATTCAGATTGTCAGTCATATTCATATATAATAGTATTTGTTATTGTTTGTATATTCATGCATAACATTATATTGAAAATACCCAGAGATTTATCTCATTATGATGTATAAGGGATTTCTTTGTATTTGTTATTATTAAGATAACCAAATTCGTTGTATTTTTAATATATAACATAGTTGACCAAATAGCACTAAGATTAAACTTTTAGAGTAACTAAAATCGAGTCATTTTTTCATGAGTTATTTTGTACTGTATATGTTCTCCCAAATCGTAATCGGTTTGTGCCGACAATTAGCGGTAAAATCTTGAAATCTCAAATCAATTGTAATAAATTTTGTACCATTTATAATTTTTAGAATTTAATTTTATTACTATATGTCTTTTTAGGCAATGACTTCGCCGGTGTTGTTCTAAAATCTCAGGAATCTATCGAAAGAGCCTTGGCCAACAACTATCCAATGACCGATGTTGATGGCAAAAAATTACTTTTATCACCAGATGGTTATAAATTCTACATTATACCAGAACCTCAACCAACGGTTGAAGATCCTGTCGTTAATGTTGGTTTACATGTTACCAATTTGGCGGAATCGAAAAAATATTGGCATGATATTTTGCTCATGAACATTGTGTCAGAAGATGAAAACTCCTTACTGCTTAACTATAGCAATATGCAGGCAGCATTGAATCTTAAACAAATCTCCGAACCATTGGACAGAGCCAAGGCCTACGGTCGTATTGCCTTTTCGGTCCCAAAAGCCCAACAGCCTTATATTAATGATGTTATCACCCAAAATAATGGTAAAATATTAACACCTTTAATTGAATTGGATACCCCGGGAAAGGAAACTGTTCGTGTTATAATCTTAGCCGATCCGGATGGTCACGAAATCTGTTTTGTCGATGATGAAGGCTTCACTAAATTATCGGCTGTGGAAGTTGATGCGGATAAAAATCTGGATAAATATATTGGCAAAGATCCATTCCAAAAAGAATTGTATGCTGCTGAGGAATAAATGTGTAATTTGATTGCGAATGTTGAACATGAATTATTATGTTATTTAATAATAAAGTTTAGTTTTTTGTAATTGTAAGGAAATCAATTGGATTGATTTCTGCAATAGATACACTTAAAATATTTATAGTTAAATTATTTCTTAAACAATTTTGGAGCATTATTTATATTTTCAGGGACTATCTGGGCGTGAATTTTTAAATTATACTTTTCCAGGGACTATCTGAGGCGTGGATTTTTTAAAGTTGGATTTTTCAGGGACTATCTGAGGCGTTGATTTTTTAAAGTTGGATTTTTCAGGGACTATCGGAGGCGTGGATTTTTTAAAGTTGGATTTTTCAGGGACTATCTGAGGCGTGGATTTTTTAAAGCTGGATTTTTTCAGGGACTATCTGAGGCGTGGAATTTTTAAAGTTCGATTTTTCAGGGACTATCTGAGGCGTGGAATTTTTAAAGTTGGATTTTTTCAGGGACTATCTGAGGCGTGGATTTTTTAAAGTTGGATTTTTTCAGGGACTATCTGAGGCGTGGATTTTTTAAAGTTGGATTTTTCAGGGACTATCTGAGGCGTGGCTTTTTTAAAGTTGGATTTTTCAGGGACTATCTGAGGCGTGGATTTTTAAAAGTTAAATTTTTCAGGGACTATCTGAGGCGTGGATTTTTTAAAGTTGGATTTTTCAGGGACTATCTGAGGCGTGGAATTTTTAAAGTTCGATTTTTCAGGGACTATCTGAGGCGTGGAATTTTTAAAGTTGGATTTTTTCAGGGACTATCTGAGGCGTGGATTTTTTAAAGTTGGATTTTTTCAGGGACTATCTGAGGCGTGGATTTTTTAAAATTGGATTTTTCAGGGACTATCTGAGGCGTGGCTTTTTTAAAGTTGGATTTTTCAGGGACTATCTGAGGCGTGGATTTTTTAAAGTTGGATTTTTCAGGGACTATCTGAGGCGTGGATTTTTTAAAGTTGGATTTTTCAGGGACTATCTGAGGCGTGGATTTTTTAAAGTTGGATTTTTCAGGGACTATCTGAGGCGTGGATTTTTTAAAGTTGGATTTTTCAGGGACTATCTGAGGCGTGGATTTTTTAAAGTTGGATTTTTCAGGGACTATCTAAGGCGTGGATTTTTTAAAGTTGGATTTTTCAGGGACTATCTGAGGCGTGGATTTTTTAAAGTTGGATTTTTCAGGGACTATCTGAGGCGTGGATTTTTTAAAGTTGGATTTTTCAGGGACTATTTGAGGCGTGGATTTTTTAAAGTTGGATTTTTCAGGGACTATCTGAGGCGTGGATTTTTTAAAGTTGGATTTTTCAGGGACTATCTGAGGCGTGGATTTTTTAAAGTTGGATTTTTCAGGAACTATCTAAGGCGTGGATTTTTTAAAGTTGGATTTTTCAGGGACTATCTGAGGCGTGGATTTTTTAAAGTTGGATTTTTCAGGAACTATCTAAGGCGTGGATTTTTTAAAGTTGGATTTTTCAGGGACTATCTGAGGCGTGGATTTTTTAAAGTTGGATTTTTCAGGGACTATCTGAGGCGTGGATTTTTATAGCCTACACAACCCGAGAAGTTGATAGTATATCCAAGAGGAGTGGTTGACGTTCAAATTGATATCAATTATATAGTCGTAGGTACTCGGATGCGGGAGTTACACTTTAATATTTATATGTGCTTACGTATTCATATATTATTTAGGAACCTATTACCACACTGGAGGGCGGAAATATGGCTCTGATCGCTTTGAAATGTTCCATGAGGTTAAAGTTATGGTCAAGGTGATGATCAGATAATAATTTTTCGGATGAAGTGGGCCGAAAACTTAATTATTTGTACTTTTCGAGTCGAAAGCCGAACATCACAATACATTCCATGGTGAAGGGAACCTGGATAAGTAATTAGAGGGGCTGTACTGATTATTAGTAACATTTGCTGACTGAATATTGCGAAATATTGCCCAATCTCAAAATATAAAACCACAGAAAGTTAGATTTTCATGGAAGTTGTGTAGGGTATCGTATGGTCGGACCCGTCCGACTATACTGCTCCGCTCACTGTTTTTTTTCCATTCGATCTATAGACCAAAATTGGAAGCCGAACATCACAACGCAACACACGCTGAAGGGAATCTGGTCAAGTGATTAGAAGGGCTGTACTGAATATTTGTAATATATTTTGACGCGAAATATTGCCCAAGCTCAGAATATAGAATCACAGAAAGTTATAGTTTCGTGGAAGTTGTGTAGAGTATCAAATGGTCGGCCGTCCGACTATACTGCTCCGCTCACTGCTTTAAGTTGATTTTTTCGGGGATTATATGAGGCCTGAATTTTTATATAATACTTTTTCAAAGGCCATCTGAGGCCTGAATTTTTAAATTATATTTTTTCAATGCCCATCTAAGGCCTGAATTTTTAAATTATGTATTTTCAAAGCCCATCTGAGGCATGGATTTTTAAATTATATTTGTTCAACGCACAGAAACCCTATTTAGATATTTTCTCTATAGCCATGGGAAATTCTATCTGCCAGTTTGTGGTTACTCTTTACACAATAATAAAATACGAATACGAATAAAAAAAACCAACTCGATTACGAATGACGTTGTTCAGATTTTGTTCGTTTGTTTTGGTCGAGCTTGTGGTTTGATATACCATTTCTGTTTTAACTTTTCTTTCGTTGTTGCTCTTACCATGTTTGTATCATTGAAAAAATAAAAATAATACAGCAAAACACAGTACATTTCAATGCCCGAATGTTCATAAAAGTTCTTGCTAAAACATAACAAAATACGTAATATTTATTAGGGGGATAGAGGTTGGATTAAAACAACCGTTTCCGTCTGTATCATTCATTTCAAGCTGTTATTAACTCTTTAATTTGAAATTTCAACAACAACTTTCCCACCATATAAAGCATAACCAAGTTTGCTTGCACTGAATAGACCAAACTAATCCGCTCTCCCCATACTCACCATCAAAATTCAAGCTAACTGCAACAGAAAGATACACACGAGAAAAAAGTAACAACAAAAACAATGGCTATGTGGCGCTAATTGCATGTTTACAGGTACACAACAACAACAGCAAATCCCCCCATTGTCTGAGAGTTGTTTACGTAGCTCTCATTTGTTTCCCCACCAATTTACTCTCAACTTAATAATGATCAGTAATGCAAATCAAGTGATTTGAGAGAAAACGCGTAAACAAATTTGAATAAAATAATACAATTGTACCTCAATCATGTATTAATTTTTTTATTAAATTAGGTTATATGAAAACTACAAAAAATTAAGCCTTGGGTTAAAAATGTTATACAGGAAATTCCTTTTGGGGGCTTACGTCCCCAAAAGGAATTTTCCTTTATCCATTTTGCCGAATAGTGCAATAAATATATAAATACTGTACACTTAATTTAATTTGAAACCAGTAAGCAGAGTAGTATAGCTGAATCGTGCAGACCCTGTGATACGCTATTCGCCTACACCGGACTTTAACTTTCTGTCAATTTTATATAGGGACTTTCACTATTCATCTGAAATAATTTAATACCAAATTACAGAGCCTCTGGTTGGAAAACATGACCTTTCTATGAGGGTTATTTACAACCTGGACCTACACTAAAAAATGTATGAGAAGTTTTTTTATGACAAATTACGCCACTTATATCGAATGTGGGCCAATTCGTTTTTATGGCGGTCATATCAAAATATTGATCGATTTCGAAAATGTTCAACAATAATTTTTTTAAGACATCCGTTCAACATGTAGAGAATTGAGCTGTACAATTAAATTATGACTCTGTCAACAAATGGTCCCATCACCAACATTTTCAACAACGATTTTTTCACATTCCAAGAACACGAAATGCTAAATTATAGCCCTTCAGATGGAAACATTGCTACAATCTTCAAAATACCAAAAATAAGGTGGTACCGTTGTGTGGGGTCTATAACGAAACGTGGACCTAATAACGAAGTGTTTGTCTCCAAAATACACATTTGGACACATTTCATTTGTTTGGAGAAAAAGAAATCCACTATTTTTATATGAATTATAGGACTTTATTTAATATGCTTCGGAATGTGCGATTTGGGCCAAATATGTACCGTTTTGCTATATGATCTGTTGTCATTTTAAAGATAACTCCATAATGCCACTCTCATAGAAGTCCTGCTCTCTATTTGCAAAAAAACTCTAGTAGTCGATTTTCAGAATACTCCCTAGATACCAATTGTTATCATTAAAAAAATTTTGCAAGGTATGAAAAATATGATAATCGCTTGGTTCCAAGTGCGGAATGTATGACGGATGCAACCCAACCAAGCTCCCGAAGTTTCTGGCGAGTCACTGTAGATGTGTGTGGCCTAGCGTTGTCCTGGTGGAACATGACACCTCTCCTGTTGACCAATTCTGGCCGTTTCTGGTCAATTGTAAATGGTATGAACTAGGAGAAAGCCAATCGGTGAAGATCTTCCTTATTTTTTAATAAGCGATTTTCCAAAGAAAAATTTAAAGTTCCGCCATTTTGTTAATTGTTGTGCGAAGTCAATAATCCTAGGTCATACTAAAGCCAGACATGTACTCCTTCTAACACCGTTGGGTTTTTCGGTTTCCGATGTTCCAGTGAGGAGTTATCATGCCCGCCATCAAAAATAAGGACTTTTTTAATCACAAAAAACAACAACAACAATTTTTTGTAAATTATTTTTCTTCCTTTTTAAATCTTCAAACATATATGTGCAAAGTTACAAACCTTAACAAGCATTGGTATTCATTTACCAGCCCATTTAAAATCTTAAATATAAACCAGTAAGGAAAGCAGTAAAGTCGGGCTGGGCCGACTATATTATACCCTTCACCACTTTGGGTATATTGTACATATGTATCCCCTCCAAGGAACATACGCAAGTATTTCTGCAACCTATGATAAATTTAATTTCATTCGGGCACATTTAACATTTAAAGTCGACTTCGTACCATGGGACAAATTTATGAAAAACGACTTATA